CGAGATAACAGGAGTCGCAGTGTTCATTCTCGAAGTCATCGATCACCCTCCCTCCCCCCGCTCTCCCTCCTCCTCCCCCTCCACCTCCTCTCACTCCTCCTTCCCGCCGCAGTAAAGATGTGGGTTTTTGAGCGATTGGCCTAATGGGTAAGTTACTATAGAAGCAGAGAGAGAGAGAGAGAGAGAAAGAAGAGAAGAGAAGGAATAGAGATTGAATGAAGGAGGAGAAAGAGGAGGAAAATAATAACTTAAGAAAAGAAGAATCAGAAAAATAGAAAATAGGACCGAATGGAAAATTAAAATTCGTAATAATAGGAAAATAGAAATCGAAAGGTAATAATAAAATAAATGTTTGAAAAGTAATAGGAATTAATAGGAAAGTAGGAAGAGAATAATAGGAAAGAGAGGATAAAGAAGTGACATAACCAAACTTGTCACGTCCAGGATATATAAAAAACTGTTTTCGTCGTATGAGGTCGACCTTGACGGAGTTCTCCTGAGTTATTTCCTTCACCTTTTTACTGGTAACTCTTCTCCTACCCCAACTCCAGCCCTACCTCCCTACCCCAGCCTTCCCTCCCACCCCAGCCCTACCCCCTCCGTACCCCAGCCTTACCCTCCCCCAGCCTTACTCTCCCCTACCCCAGCCTCTCTCCCCACCCCAGCCCTCACCTCCCCCACCCCAGCCCTACCTCCCCTACCCCAACCTTCCCTCCCCCACCCCAACCCTACCCTCCCTACCCCAGCCTTACTCTCCCCTACCCCAGCCTCCCTCCCCCACCCCAGCCTTACTCTCCCCTACCCCAGCCTTACCTCCCTACCCCCAGCCTACCTCCCCTACCCCAGCCCCACCCTCCCCACCCAGCCCACCCTCCCTACCCCAGCCCCCTCCCCACCCCAGCCTTACTCTCCCTACCCCAGCCCTACCCTCCCCTACCCCAGCCTTACCTCCCCCACCCCAGCCTTACTCTCCCCACCCCAGCCTTACTCTCCCTACCCCAGCCTTTCCTCCTACCCCAGCCCCTACCCTCCCTACCCCAGCCTTACTCTCCCCACCCCAGCCCTACCCTCCCTACCCCAGCCCTACCCTCCCCTACCCCAGCCTACCCCTCCCCTACCCCAGCCTTACCTCCCCTACCCCAGCCCCACCTCCCCTACCCCAGCCTTACTCTCCCCACCCCAGCCTTACTCTCCCTACCCCAGCCCTACCCCTCCCTACCCCAGCCCCTCCCTACCCCAGCCTTACCCTCCCCCCACCCCAGCCTACTCTCCCCCCACCCCACCCCTCCCTACCCCAGCCTACCTCCCCCCACCCCAGCCTCCTACCCTCCCACCCCAGCCTTACCCTCCCTACCCCAGCCTTGCCCTCCCCCCCACCCCAGCCCTCCCCCCACCCCAGCCTTACCCTCCCCAACCCCAGCTTCCCTCCCCCACCCCAGCCTCTCCCCTACCCAGCCCCCTCCCCCCCCCAGCCTACTCCCCTACCCCCAGCCCTCCCCTACCCAGCCTCCGCCCCCCTCCCTCCCCACCCCAGCCCTACCTCCCCCAGCCTTCCCTTCCCCTCCCCAGCCCTACCCTCCCCTACCCCAGCCTCTCCCCTACCCCAGCCTACTCTCCCCGACCCCAGCCCTACCCTCCCCTACCCCAGCCTTACTCTCCCCCCTAACCCCAACCTTCCCTCCCCCCCCAGCCTTACTCTCCCCCTCCAGCCTTACCCTCCCCATCTCACCTCCCCTCCAAGGATAAGATCAATAGGTCATATCACTCCCCATCAACCCCCCACCTTTCCCCATCTTACTGACCAAGATTCCCCAACAATTTACCCTCACTCCTCCCGTCAATGCTCCTCCCCCCTCTTCTCCCTCACTGTCTGAAGTCCCCCCCCCTCCTCATGCACCATCGTTCCCTTCCCTCTCCACCCTCGACGGATCTCCCCCCCATGGATCCCCCCACGGATCCCCCGATGGATCCCCACCCCAGAATCACTACCCCCCACCCCCGGCGCCCCCAACACTACAGTCGTGCGGTAGGTTGGTGGTTCATTATTGCGGTCCGTTGCCTCGTCCTCCCAGGCTTCACTGTTCGCTAATTAACCCTTGTCCACCTCCTGCCGCTATTGTCTTCAGCTCTCCCTTTCTCCCTTCCTCACCCCGTTCTTTCCTCTACTTCGTCCTTGACTCTCTCTCTCTCTCTCCTCCCATCCCACCTTCCTGACACTACTTTCCAGTTTTTCCGTCTCATCCTTTCCTTCCTTCCTTCCCTTTCTTCTTTCCTTATATCCTTCTTAACCCCTTCTACCTATCTCTCCTCTTCACATAATCCTGAAACTATATCCCTGACACACACACACACACACACACACACACACACACACACACACACACACACACACACACACATACACATATATAGTCATCTAGTTGACCTGTGGTGACACTTGCCCTGTATAAAAATGATACTCGGGAACTTGGACTACTCTATACACCATTTCTCAATACATTTAACCTTGTGCTGTTTACCTGCTTAAAGATCTTAGTTGTTAAAGCACACTAATGTATTATAGCACCAGTATAGGGGGAGGGGGGGGGGGAGACGTCGTTCAG